ACAGTATGCAGCCCTTCTCCTCTCCCCTTGGCCTTGGTCTTCCCTTTACAAGGGAAGGTGTATGCACCAGGGCCGGATTCAAGAGGATGATTGTGAACATCAAGCCCAAAGGCTTTAGGACTGGCTCTTCTGAAGAAAGAAAAATAGGCTGCATTACTCTGAAGTCCTATAAGATCAAAGTGAGGGTGTGAAGGCTGTAATGGGATGCGTCAGGCTCAGAGGAAACAAAGGGATAAGAAAGATCTCTATGAGGATAGATATGAAAGAGACTGAAGTTTAGCTTGAATTATAGCACAGCATATGGCTAAAAGTTCCTGAAAGCCTGAGATTAGGGACATTATCAATAATTTATAAAGTGTGAGTGCCCGACTTACTGACTCCCATCCATATTTAAAATACACCAACTGCCTCCTCTGCTTGATAGAACCCCATTTACACTCTGAACAGACACTTCCCCAAATTCAGGCTGCCTCTAGGTAGAATGTTACTGAATTAACAGTCATATTTTGTTTTCCATTTTTTTAAAAAAGAAATGCTTAAAATATCCCTAAACAAAGAAATCCTCCACTGACATTTTAAAACACAAACTGAATGCCAATGGCAGGATGTCGGGAGCTCTTTAATAAATGCATACACTTTAAAAGCCTGAGTGTACACACTCCTTTCAAGTACATTTTATAAAATAATTTACTCTCAGTCTGTTTTGAATAATTGTACAGAAATAGTTCATAAGCATAATAAATCTTTAACATACCCTCTTCTTGCATGCTGTCTCTGAAAGTCTCGATTTGAAGATTATACTTAATGGAATTGTCTGTCAATTGCCATGATTATCATCTGGGGCAGATGGCTCTTTGATTGTGCATTTAATATGCAGAAAACCCTCTCCTCTGCTGCTTTCCAGTTACCCTCCTGACAGCTCGCATTCTGATGGGCAGCTTTCTTTTTAGGGAATTGTTTCCTTTAAACACCAGACTTCATGTATCATTTCAAATAAATATATTCAGAGATGAATTTTTCATCCTTAATTTGCTCACCTCACATAACAGCATTTGCGATGCAGCTTACTTGGCGTTTGTAACACAGACGCTGCTTGGGAGGGGACACGCAGAGTTGCCAACAACACTAGAGCCGCCACAGCTGCTGACGGATCATGAGACAAGATTTGTCTGAGGCAAGACAAGGACACAGGCCCTGAGTTTGAGAAACCACCTCATTGCTCTTGCCTTGCTCTTGGGATGTGGATTCTGTCTGGGAAGGGAGGGTCATTACTGGGCCAAGATTTCCTTTACATCTCCTGCTCATACAGACTGGGCTGTTTTCCCAGAATTCCACCCACACCATTATTTTTTTTCTGTCCAGTGTACCTCCAGGGTGAGTGGAACAAATGGAACACACAGAACACGCGTCATGGTTCTCCATTCTGATGGGCCCCAGAGCAGATGGAAGACTTCAATGGGAATATTGAAGTTACCATTTTAACATGCCCTGGACATCTACAAACATATCCATCAGTGTGCATATCAGAATAAACAGATATAAATCTGCAGAATTTGTGAATCTTGTGTGATGCGGTTGCAAAAGCGAGTTTTGGAATTGTAGGACTCAGGTTCAAATTTTAATTCCTCTTTTTTGGAAAGATATGGAACTATGGCCGAGAAGATGGTTCTGGGACCTATCTGGCTGGGTTTAAATCCCACTCTGGCTACAGGATGTATGCCCCAATCTCTCGACACCTCTCTTTACCTGTAGAGTGGAGGTGAGAATAAGGTTATGGTAAGGATCAAACAAGGTGAAGTAGATGACATAGAAAGGCTCCCAAAGAATGTTGGTTAAAGGTGGTAATTATATTCCAAACTGTGTAGTACTTAGCATGTTGTAATTGTTAAAATGAAAATACTACTATCGCTTATCTCAAAATGGTATCACTGTTGTGATGAGATGCTACCAGCAGAGCATGTAGCACATTTGTGATTATTATTCAGTTTAGCAATTATTTACATACTACTACAAAGTCTTGCTGGCTCAAAACCCCTCTGTGGGACTCCCTCACCAAAGAGCTCTCCCAGGTCACAAGCCACTGGCCACCTGCCGGGGGCTTGGGAGCTGCTGAGGCCCCGCCAGATAGGAACTATGATCCTTGAACAGTCATGTGAATTCAGAGGACGGCAATATTTGATTCACAGAAATTTAATTTGCATGCAGCACTTTTTCTTTATTGCCAGGTGCATCTGCACACTGCTCACAGGGTAGTGACGCCTGTGTGTGAACCATACATTGTGTTGCTGATGCATCTTCATTAGCCAAGAGAGTGTTATTAGAAATGGGTAAATTGGATCATTTAATATCATTGCTCTTACCTCCAGAAAAAATAAACTGAGGTATTTTTCCCCATTAGAGTTCATAAGACTTGAAAGGCTAAATTTTCATTAGGAAGCCAAAAGCATTTTTACAAATCTCGTGTCTCTGAAGAAGGGCTGAGGGAGGAAAGGCAGGAAGGCTGAGGGCATGGTCACCAGCTTCCAGGGGGAAAGTGTGTCCACATGGACTCTACTTCTCTACCTTGTGAGCGTTGAAAGCTTCACTGCCCAGAAGAGCTCTTTTGAGTTGCAAATCCACAGTTTTCTGCTTTGAAAAAAATCTGAGAGCTCACTTCATCCAGCACTTTCTTTGCCTGTCTATCACAACCTGGTCATGCTTTGGACAGCTCCTCCCTCTTTGGGCTACCTTTAGGCTCACTATTTAATGTTTCCCTGAAAGTAGAGCCTGGGGCAGAGACCTGGAGCTGGGGCATGGTGCTTTATTTGGGAGATGATCCCTAGGAATAGATGTGGGAGACTGGGGAACATGACAGAGGATAAAGAAAAGCTACAGTAAGGATGTGGGATTGAGCTCACTGTGTCGTGCAGCCTGGAGCCTGCATTGCACCAGGACATCTTGGAATCCTGCAGAACACCTTCCACGTCATCTGCCTCATGGGCCAATGGTCTGTGTGGTGGCAGCTCTGCCTCCACTGGTTCCTGGGGACATTAATCTCATGCTCAGGGGCAGTGCTTAGGTTCAGATCCAGTGGAAAATGTTGGGACAGGAGATAAACAAACAAAACAAAACAAAACACACATGTGAGTGCTTGAGGTGGGAGACAGGTGGTGAAGGACAGCTGTGGCTGTCAGAGAGCCACTCACCCTGCTGTGGCTGGAAACAGTGCCGGAGACCCTGGGCACTACCCGTAGTCAGAGAGGTGATTCTCATCTGATGAGTACTTGTGTACCGTTCATTCCCTGACGAACACTCACTGGGTGCAAGCTATTTGTCAGAAATTCCTCTTGGCTCTGGGAATACTGTAGTGAACAGTAGAAAAGAAATAAATGGTACCATTTCAGCTAGCAGTGTTCTATAAAAAAGATAAAACCAGGTAAGGGGACAGAGTGACAAGAATGCTACATTTTTATTTTGGATAAAGTGGTTAGATAAAATGGAAGAGGCAGCACTGAATAAAATAACTGGCACAATCCAAGGAATGGTGGGGGGACAGGAGCGCTGTGGGGCCACAGAGCATTCCAGGTGGACGAACAGCAGGAGGGGAGGAAGTTCTTCATATTAGAGCAATAAGAAAGCCAGTGTGATAGGTGCTGAATGGACAAGGGAGAGAGCAGGGGAAACTGAGGCTGCAGAGACATCTATGGGAGGTTGTGCAGGTCCCAGGAGGCTGATTGGGCCTTGCTCCTTCTGGAGAAGGAAGCTGTGTATGTGTGTGTAGAGGGGTGCTGTGAGATAGTTAAATTCTTCAGTGAGACTTTCAAATCAGGTGTGTATTTTGCATGTTCTGAATTTGAGTCCTTATAACTCTGATCAGGCATTACAGATGGGGAAGACCTGTGCCTTCTCAAGGTCTCACAATTATTGTGCAGACACTGGATTCCAACCCAAGTCTGGCTCCAAAGCCCTAGATCTCTGTGATTTTGCCTTTAGTGTCTGAAGCTCATTTCCCTGGATGGTGTCTCGGGTCCTCAACAGACAGCACGTTCTTTCAGGCCAGAAGTTGTAGTCATCACCTTCGCATCCCTGGGAAAAACATCTGACACCCACAACTTACAGGAGGAAGGCTCATGGGCTTTAGAGGATTCAGCCCATACTTAGGTGGTTCCAAGGCAGGACAGGTATGGTGGAAAGGTCTGGCGGAAGAGAGCTGCTCACATCATGGTTGCCAGGAAGCAGAGAGGGGGCAGAGCTGGGAGAGAGATCCGCCCTTCCAGGCCACGCCCCAGTGTCCCACCTCTAACCAGGCCCCACCTTCTAAAAGCACATTCAGCGGCTGAACTATCAGTGGATGAATCCACAGATAAGCATAGCGCCTCATGACCAATCACCTCCCAAGAGCCCCAACCCTGAGCACGTGAGAGTGCTAAACCTAAACCATAACAGAGGTGCTCTTTTATTCTTTTCCCTACCTCCCACAGCACCTAGGCACGCTCCCATCTGAGCAGTGGCACTGTCCTGGTTGGTGGCAGGTCCTGGTGGAAGCTGCAGGTGACACTGTCCTGTCTCTGTCATGGCTTCCTAGCCACTCTGGAGTGATGTTTCCGGTGGTGTGTGACTTTTCTGGACCAGCGGGGCCTGCTGTGTCTGCTGGGGTGGGCATACAGGAGCAGCTCGGAGGATTCTGAGGCTCCGAGGCACACACCCGATGCGGAGAGGGCCGCGGCAGAGGGCGGAGGGGGAAAGCACTGCCATTGTACCAGGTTTCCATCTGTAAAAATAAACTCAAAAGACTCCAACAATTTGATTTGAGCCAATAATCTGATCTACTTGTGGCCTCTCTCATCCAGTGTCTGAAAAGGAAGGTGTTAATTTTTCTTCTGCATTTAGAAGTTTCTTTGACCGGCAAGGACATTGGGTCAGCTTACCCTTTCAAGGTGGCAACTCCAATTTAGAAGATTTAAGTTTGAGAAAATGTGCTCTCTCCTTAGAGCCCAGGAACAGTCATAAAAACTCGCCAGCCAGTTTGCAAGCAGTGGTTTATGTGAATTCATTCCGGGAGGTTTCACAGGGTGTAATAAAGGTGGGAGAGACTCTGCCATTCACTGATGGTGTGGGATCGCACAGCCTTGCATCTGCTGCGCAGCTTGCTCTGCCCCTCCTTTTGGAAGAGCAGCACCTGGTCAGAGGTGTCTTGCTCAGGGTACAGACAGGTGGCAACTGTAGCACTCTGGAAAAGATCATTAATCAGGGCTTCAGTGCCGGAGCTGCCAGGCCTTGTCTCCAGAGGTCAGCAAAGATGAGACCCAGAGTCAGTTAGAGTGAAGGACCAGAGGCTGTGCTGGCTTCTCTGTGATCCAGGTCTTAGGAGTGGAGAGCAGGGGTGGAAGGGTCTTACTTGCCGATGTTCCAAATACCAATCTATAGCCGACTTCCCTGACCTAGCTTAAAGCTAGCATTAAGCTCTCCCAGTGTTGTTAGCCCAAGGAATGAAATGTCCAGGAACAAACCTTTAACTAAAACATGCAGAACTCCAGAAGGGTTGAAATAAGGCAGTGGAGAGCAGCTTCCTTCAGGCTCTGACTTCCAGGAGAAGAATCAGCGACTCTCAAGTACCCTCCACAGCCGCATCAGGAAAGTCCCTCTGCTGAATGACTGTGGAGCTGACCCAAGAGAGAACGGTTGGGTTGATCTCTTTGATGGTTGGCATGAAGTTTAGGTTGCTTTCCTAGATCTGTGGGTTAAATTCTGGAGACCTGAAGATTTCCCTGAACAGTCTTGGAGTCTTGGGGGACATCATTAATACTAACAGTCACTGAACTCTCGGCTAAGCACTGCACTGAGTGACTGTCATACTCAAAATCCAAGCTTCACAATAACTTTATAAAGTGAGTTGGAATCCTTAGCTCGGTTTTATAGGTGAGGAAACTGAGGCACAGATTAACTTGATCAAGTTTGCCTTTGTCAGGGAGGGCAGGACCGGGATTTGTCTGCAGGAATGCTAAAGGAATGGTGGCTCAAGGCCCAGAGAAGTTACTGCAACAACCAAGCACAGATATCCAAGCCGGGACAGTTGGTGGCACTATGTCCTAAATGAATTGGTTTCCCAACTGCCTGGGTGGGGAAGAGAAGTCCCAACCCCTTTGAACGTGAATGTGAGTGTAGGAAGGGCTGGGGTTTATTTTTCAAGTCACTGAATTCTAGTGGACACTATTTTTTTTTACCATCTTTTCCTCTCTCTTTACTGTCTCTGTGGCTTGAACATCACTGGAGAGACTTGATGTACACATCTGGGGAAAGAAAACATCTGGTTGGAAGAGGGTGGGGAGAAAGCTACTGATCTGGCTGATTGTGAGCTGACCAAGGTCAAAGCCCTTGGAATCAGATGAAGATGACTTCTGCCTTCTTTGTCCAAAAATTCCTGGTCAAGAGTTGGTCCCAAGGTTCTGTAGATTCTGTTCTCTAAGTAAGAGCCTTTCTGAGGGAACAGAACGCCTAGATAATTTCTTAGCATCTGAGAAAAAATTATAATTTGATTAAGACATTTCATATGCTTAGTAGCAGCAGTTCATCTGTGCAAATGATTTGAGGTCTGGAGAAAATAGCTACATCAAAAAAAAGAGTTTCTGAGCTGTTGAAAAGGACAACGTGAACAAAACTTAATTACGAGTACAGGCTAATGGAATCGAGAAAGAGGCAAGATGAATTCATTATATTAATAATGAACCTGATTTTAGGCAAAGGGAAGCAGATAGAAAGAAAGGAATGCGTCATGTGTTGTGTTTCCTTTCTTCTCAGTAAAGTGTAGTGTGCCGAAATGTAACAGGATTATCCATCCTCTCCATCTACCTTTGTCTAAATAAATTCAAGCTTTGCACAAATGTAATGAATTTTCAGCTTGTAATTTGCTGTCTCCGGTGCACGCGGTATGGAGAGACCTGCGAAGCTCCCCCGGAAGCCCCAAGCTTGAGACCTGACAGGGCAGCAGGAAGAAGACTCCAGGTCCTCTTGTGTTGGACGTGAGGGTCCCAGAGTAGCAGTAGCCCGGGGCTTCTACGGCACAGGTTGGCAGAGAAGGACGTGACCTGGATGTGGGCTTAGATTTGGAGCTGGATGGAGCTAGAGTAGTGGACGGGTCGCCTTCCCTTTACATATTCCAGGAGTAAGGTAAAAATTCGCAAGGTTCTTCCTACCTCACTTACCTCGTCCACCTCCATGTCATTATGTGTGAAGTTTTCTCCCCTGGGAATTCCATCTCTCCCACACTCCCATTCTCCACTTTCAGCTTCTTTTTGCTTGTCATCCTTGTGGAGGGGCCGTGCTAATTGTCTCTGTATCGTTCTGATTTTAGGATCTGTGCTGCTGAAGTGAGCACTTCTACTTTTAAAAAGCTTGGGGCTCCCAAGGGAGCTTCTCAAGTCTCTCTGCACCGCATGCACCGGAGCAGCAAATTACGAGCTGAAAATTCATTACATTTGTGCAAAACTTGAATTTATTTAGACAAAGGCAGATGGAGAGGACGGATAATCTTGTTGGTGGACATTTGGGTTATTTATCACTTTGAGCTACTAGGTGAAAAAGTGCTGTGTATATTTGTGTTCAACATTTTCTGTGGCAAATATTTTGAATATTGAATCTAGGAGTGGAATGTCTGGGTCTTATAGAAAATGTGTTTAACATCATGAGGAACTACTAAAATACTTTCTAAAGTTGGCAGCAATTTTACATGCCCTATTGCTCTGTGTCAACGATGGCAAACCTTTTAAAGACAAGCGCTCAAACTGCAACCCAAAACCCATTTTTTTATTATAAAGTGCCGACACTGCAATTAAACCTGAATATTGAGGGTTTAGTTTACAGAAAAATAAAGCCTCATACATTAACACCTTTTGTCTTAAAAGTAAAACACAATAACATGCATGCTATAAGTTTGCCATCACTGCTCTATATCTTTGCCAAAGCTTGGTATTTTTACTCTTTTTGTTCTTAGTTATTCCGAGTCTGAAATGGTATCACATTGCAGTTTAAGTTTCCATTTACCTGGAAACTAATAATGTTTAATATTTTCTCACATGGTTACTAGTTCTTCTACAAGTATATCATCTTTATGAGGTTTTTATTCAATACAGTATTATTTTTAAAAGATAATGCACCATAACCATTCTGGAACATAAATAGTTCACAATCAATTCTACCAGCAATATGTAATTTACTATGCTAGTAGAATACAAGAGGAAAACTATGAGATTACTTTAATAGATGCAGAAAAAGAAGTTGATAAAATTCAACATCTATTTATGATAAATGTGTTCATCAACATTAGAGAGAATGGATATCTTAAAAATATACTGATTCCCAACCCATTAGCACCATATGGCTCTGCATTTTAGGGCTTATAGGTCTTTCAGAAATGTGTTATAGTTTTTATTGTTCATATCTTGCACATATTTTATAACATTTATAATTAAGTACTTCATGTTTTTGATGTTGTTATAAATTATTTAATTAACTTCAATTTTGGATTTTGTTCTTTAAATAAACAAAGCTAGAGGACTCATGCTATGTGACTAGAAGACTTCCTATAAAGCTACAGATAGATGCACATATCAGCAAAACAGAATAGTCAAAAGAAAAACCTGCACATATGGTCAATTGATTTTTGACAAAGATGCCAGGGAAATTCAATGGGAAAGGTATAATCTTTCCAGAAATTGCACTGATGATTCTAGATAGTTAGAAAAGATAGATTTTATCCTTATTTTACATTACACCAAAAATTCATTCCCTATGGGTCACTTAACCATGATGGCCAAAACTATAAAACTTCTGTATGACAACCTAGAAGGAAGGGTTCATGACTTGGATGTAGACAAATGTTTTTAAGATGTTTTGCTTTTATACAAAATAATTGTTTCAAAATTTGACAACTGGATTTTATCACAATTAAAAATGTCTGCACTTACTAAAACAGCAACAAACATCATTACAAATTTTAAAAGATGAGTCAAACTTGGACATAATGTATATAAAACAAGTTAAGTTGGATCCAGAACCTAAGTGATACATATACACACATACATATACTTAATAAGGAGAAAACTTAATAAAAATCTGTGAAACGTGAGCAAACACTTGAGCAAAACACTACATTGGAGTGACCCCAAAGCACATGAAAAGATGCCTAATATTTCTTTAGAGAAATAAATTAAAACTAAGTGAGATACCTCTTCACTTTCACTAGACTATGCTAACCATAATGACAACCCCACGGGTGGATGAGAATGCAGAACAACAAAGGAATGCAACCACGTTGGAAAATAGGAAATTTTTTGTAAAGTTAAACATGCACTTACATTATGACCCAGCAATTCTATTCTCAGATAATTAATTACCCAAGAGAAATGAAAACATACTTCCCCACAATAAATACTCATGGTGGCTTTAGAATAGCCCAAACTTGAAATAATCCAAAAGTCCCTCACCCAGTGGATGGCTAAACAAATTGTGATATATCCATGCAATAAAAGGAACAAACCACTGATGTACTCTGCAGTACCAAAGAACTTCATAGATATTATACCGAGTGAAAAAGACAGACATGAAAGATTGTAGGTGACATGATTTCATTTACTTAAAACTATAACAAAGGGAACTGTAGTTTACAGTGACAGAAGCAGATTAGGTTATTCTAGGGCTGTGGGCTGAGGAGCAGTTAACTGCAAAAAGGCAGAAGAAGACTCTCTGGGGTGATTATGTTCTATATTTTGATTGCTTTGGTTACATGGCTGTGAGCATTTTTCAAACTTAGGGACCCAGACACTTAAAATGTACCCAGTCTTTTGAATGTGCATTACACCTCAATAAAGTTGAACAATAACTAAAAAACCCTCAAACAGGAATGGATCTAGTATGAGTGAAAGTTCATCAGTGATCTCACTTTTTCCTTTCTTTGTCTTCCTGGCATCAAAATGGACTCAGCAGAGGTATGCCTCTTTTGTAGGTCTCCCCATCTTGTGGGAGCATGATAGAAGCCTGCTGGGGTATGGGAGGTTTAGCTCTGCATTATGCTGCAGAAAATTAAACAAGAAGTGGATTCTCTGTGACACCTGCATTTATTAGCAGAGAAAGAATGGCTCTGCTAAGAAGAATGACACCCACTGGTGTGGATGTCACTTCTGATTGTCAAGTTGCAGAAAACATTCAGCTAAGTCCTCAGCTTGTTAAATGTGAAAGAGCTGTTTACAGGTTTTGTATTTTCCTCCTGTGAACCATTAAGCATTCCATTTGATTTGCAAAGCAGAAAAAGATTTCTTGATAGCTTGGCTCCTTTGGGATGATTGCTGAGAACCATGCTCAATATTAGTACCTATGGATCTGCTTCTCTCTATTAAGATGATTTGAGCCTTAAATTGGGGGCACCTAGAAGACCAGGAACTGCAGCATGTCTAAATTACAGCGATTTGTCCACTTGCAGAGATGTCCAGTCATATATCCTCTGAGAAGTCAGAACAGAGTTCAACACATCTCCCTTTTGTAATAGATATTCAACTTTGAGCAGCACTGTTTCCTTGACCATGCATGTCTTTTTGGTCATGGGTACCATAGATACATAGACACACAAGAGGGAAGGGGAGAAATCTTACAGAGGGCTATAGCTGCTGCGGCAGTGCTGTTTATATAGAGAAACAGACAGCAGAATAATCCACTGAATGTCCTATGTTATCTGGAATCTAGAAATTTTTACTCCACGGCTGATTTTAATGAGCAGAACAATGGTTGTTGCCTCTGGTGGGGTTAATTCCCTGATTTTGGAAGGAGCCCCAGACCGGGAAGCAGAGAGAACTCAAGAAGATCTGAACCCTCGCTGGGGCTCAGACACATGACATCCTATCAGGCAAGATGCTTAGTTCGTCAGATGCCATTTCCTTCCTGGCACTGAGAACCAGGTGGTAGCTATTTCCTTATCCTTCAGTTCCCCCAGCTTGAGATTTCTCTGTCTTTGCTTAGCACCAGAGGGGAAGTGAAACCTGTCTCCCAAAAGAATTCACTCACACAAAGAATGCTAACCTTATTGGAATATTCAGTAAGGGGGAGAAAGAATTTCATACTTCCTACATCTGAGGAATAACACAAAGGCACTGTGTATGTGTAAATATGTGTGTGTGTGTGTGTGTGTGTGTGTGTGTACAAAAGCATGTGTGTTTAAGGGCTCTTGCTCTTCCTTTGGATGTACCTGAATCCTTTCTTCTCTTCCTCCTGGTATTGCTCCCAGAATTTCACACTCCTGCAT